TACTGTGCTCTGCAGCCCACTGTGACTGAAACACACTCAACACTCATGCAAAAACATGAAATAGATAACTTGTGTTCATAGAGTCAAAAAGTGTGCATGCCTCTGGATCAGCATCCATCATCTGAGGTCAATTAGTGGAATCACAGAAAGGTGTGAACAATTTTAACACTTCCAAACTCGGATCAATCACATGAGTCTCAAACCATCACAACAATAAAAAACAAACGAACAAACTAATTTAGGAGCCTATGCAGTGGGGACCTGAATTTGGAATTCAAATTTAAATCTGGAAATGTATTACATTTTAAACCATAAAAAAAAGATTTAAGACAGAATAACTAAGAAATATTTAAGATTCATAACTATTTTTAGGTCACTAATCAAACTTTAGACATTGGCCTTGTTAACTATTATCAATATACATCTTTTCTGTTTAATTCTGCTCTTATATTTATGCTCTAGATCAGTAATATTCTGTCATGTCAAAAATTTGTATCATAGCACTATTAATATTATTGGCTCATTAATCATTCAGGTTTGTAGATTTTGTTAGTCAAAACCATCTGCTAAAGTAATAAATATATGTATGATTTCTTGCCATTGCAAAAGTTGTAGCATGCAAACTCATGCAAAAACATGAGAAGCGGCAGACTGTCATATCACACAGAAAGCAGGAAGTTCCAGTGTGTTTGAGTGTGAAACTGCAGAGACTCACAGTAACACAGATCTACAGCTCAGAGCACAGAGAACATTAACCTGATCTGACCTAGTCAACATGGAAAAACACCTGCTTCTCATTTTAATTCTGACTTCAGGTACAATATGACACTTTTATTTTAATTTCATTACAGTGGTATTAATGAGATATATTGAGATAATTTTGTGTAACTTGGCTGACAAATTACTTTTATGTGTTTGATTTAGGTGTGATGACTGCGGACCAGATTAGGCCAAATAAAGATGCTGTTGTCATAAAGGAAGACGAGACTGTGACCCTCAGCTGCTCATATGATACAAGCAGCAGTTATGTTAGACTTTATTGGTACAGACAGTATCCTAAAGGGGAGCTTCGCTATTTAATATACAAGGCTGCACGGTCGAGTGGTGGAGGTGGGAGCCCCTCTGATCCTCGCTTCCAGTCGACTACATCACACACATCCACTGAACTCACCATTACTGGTGTAACTCTGTCAGATTCAGCTCTCTATTATTGTGCTCTAAGAGTTGGAGCCCAGTGGTACAAAGTCAATATGAAGCTATACAAAAACTCTAATCAATGTTTCTCTTTTAATGTCAAGCCACATCACACCCACAATCTAGAATTCTCAGAATATAACTACACTTGTGGAAACACCTGTGTGTGGTTACTGAAAGGGTAATGAAAGGAAACATGATGTCCTAGAATACTTCCTGAATTACAGTACATCACAACCATTTTGAAAGATCGGACTAAACATTACATCATCATTTAATATCTCTTCGGCAAAGTCTCTTGTATGGAGAAAGTTTCCCACTCAAAGCCAAATTATTCATACAGTGTAAACTAACATGTCCAATAAAAGTAATTTTACTTCTTATTTATTATTATTTTCAATTGATTCAATTCAATTGATTCTGACATTAGTTGCACTGTTTGTGCAATTGGTGCAATTGAATTTTTTTCGGCTCAACAAAATCTATTCAAACTCACCACAATGAGGCATCCTTCCTCAAATTCTTATATAAAGCTGAACCTTATGAAGAATCTGAAACTACAAAGAGAAATAGAGACTATACAGTAAGAATAAAAAACTTCTGGAAAATTCTGTTAAAATATTCTGTTCTTTTTTAATTTTTATCTTTAAGTGAGAATGGCAAAATTGGTGATTATTGCACTTTTCTTCACAGTACATGATTTTGGTAAGAAAATTGTTTCATCGTTTACACTTTACTACTAGGCCTATATCTGTGTGAGATACTCAATGTAAGCACATGAATAATGGCTACATCTATTTTCCAGTGTGCTGGGGAAAAGACAAAGTTAAACAACTTTCAAGAGAAATGACTGCCAATGAAGCAGCACAAATTACTCTACTATGCAATTACTCTACCAGCAGTTATAATAATGCATATCTTTACTGGTACAAACAACTACCAAATAGATCACCAACATTCATTCTGAGTGAATTTTCAATTGGTAAAGGAACTACTGAGGATGAATTTAAAGACAGATTTTCTGCATCACTGGATTCAACATCAAGAACAGTTCCACTGATGATCAAGAATCTGCGTGTGTCTGACTCTGCTGTGTACTACTGTGCTCTGAGGCCCACAGTGACTAAAACACACTCAACACTCCTCAGAGCACAGAGAACATTAACCTGATCTGACCTAGTCAACATGGAAAAACACCTGCTTCTCATTTTAATTCTGACTTCAGGTACAATATGACACTTTTATTTTAATTTCATTACAGTGGTATTAATGAGATATATTGAGATAATTTTGTGTAACTTGGCTGACAAATTACTTTTATGTGTTTGATTTAGGTGTGATGACTGCGGACCAGATTAGGCCAAATAAAGATGCTGTTGTCATAAAGGAAGACGAGACTGTGACCCTCAGCTGCTCATATGATACAAGCAGCAGTTATGTTAGACTTTATTGGTACAGACAGTATCCTAAAGGGGAGCTTCGCTATTTAATATACAAGGCTGCACGGTCGAGTGGTGGAGGTGGGAGCCCCTCTGATCCTCGCTTCCAGTCGACTACATCACACACATCCACTGAACTCACCATTACTGGTGTAACTCTGTCAGATTCAGCTCTCTATTATTGTGCTCTAAGAGTTGGAGCCCAGTGGTACAAAGTCAATATGAAGCTATACAAAAACTCTAATCAATGTTTCTCTTTTAATGTCAAGCCACATCACACCCACAATCTAGAATTCTCAGAATATAACTACACTTGTGGAAACACCTGTGTGTGGTTACTGAAAGGGTAATGAAAGGAAACATGATGTCCTAGAATACTTCCTGAATTACAGTACATCACAACCATTTTGAAAGATCGGACTAAACATTACATCATCATTTAATATCTCTTCGGCAAAGTCTCTTGTATGGAGAAAGTTTCCCACTCAAAGCCAAATTATTCATACAGTGTAAACTAACATGTCCAATAAAAGTCATTTTACTTCTAATTTATTATTATTTTCAATTGATTCAATTCAATTGATTCTGACATTAGTTGCACTGTTTGTGCAATTGGTGCAATTGAATTTTTTTCAGCTCAACAAAATCTATTCAAACTCACCACAATGAGGCATCCTTCCTCAAATTCTTATATAAAGCTGAACCTTATGAAGAATCTGAAACTACAAAGAGAAATAGAGACTATACAGTAAGAATAAAAAACTTCTGGAAAATTCTGTTAAAATATTCTGTTCTTTTTTAATTTTTATCTTTAAGTGAGAATGGCAAAATTGGTGATTATTGCACTTTTCTTCACAGTACATGATTTTGGTAAGAAAATTGTTTCATCGTTTACACTTTACTACTAGGCCTATATCTGTGTGAGATACTCAATGTAAGCACATGAATAATGGCTACATCTATTTTCCAGTGTGCTGGGGAAAAGACAAAGTTAAACAACTTTCAAGAGAAATGACTGCCAATGAAGCAGCACAAATTACTCTACTATGCAATTACTCTACCAGCAGTTATAATAATGCATATCTTTACTGGTACAAACAACTACCAAATAGATCACCAACATTCATTCTGAGTGAATTTTCAATTGGTAAAGGAACTACTGAGGATGAATTTAAAGACAGATTTTCTGCATCACTGGATTCAACATCAAGAACAGTTCCACTGATGATCAAGAATCTGCGTGTGTCTGACTCTGCTGTGTACTACTGTGCTCTGAGGCCCACAGTGACTAAAACACACTCAACACTCTGCTTTGATATCTGATTGTATTGATTCTGATTGTATTTCACATTTGTAAGTTACTTTGGATAAAAATGTTGGTTAGAAATACATAAATTCACCACAGGGAGGCAGCATACATCAAGGTGTCTTTAAGGAGACGTGCCTACAGATCTGAAGACTTGAAATATCAAGAGAAGAGCAACACAGAGGAAACCAAGAGCCACAATCACATCAGACAGAGAGACACGATCATAAGAATACACATTCAAATATTAATCTCTTTATCTCAACAATGGAAAAATGGGTGATTATTACACTTTTCTTCACAGCACAGGACTTTGGTAAGAAAGTTCATCATTTGCACTTTATTATTTGTTTATATGTGCGTTACTTCATATATGTAAATTATTAATGGTTAAATCTATTTTCCAGTGTGCTGGGGGCAAGACAGAGTAGAACAGCCTTCAGGAGGAATGACTACAAATGAAGCAGATCAAGTAACTTTAATATGTAATTACACTACCAAAACTACAAATGCAGATGTTTATCTCTTCTGGTACAAACAGCTGCCAAACAAATCATCAATATTCATTCTGAATAAATATCCATTTAGTGAAGGAATAACTGAGCCTGATTTTAAGAAGAGATTTTCTGCAACACTGGATTCGACATCAAGAACAGTTCCACTGACGATCAAGAATCTGTGTGTGTCTGACTCTGCTGTGTACTACTGTGCTCTGAGGCCCACAGTGACTAACACACTCAACACTCACACAAAAAAATGCAAAATAAAAACTCTCCAACTTTGCCAACGTAACACTATAAACCAAGTAAAAACATTATAAAAAGTCATCATAATTTATAAGTTATCAAGTGATAATCATATCAGTAATAAACAATAAAGTGCTCTTTGCAGGGAACCAAATAATCAAGTCATTGAAAAGTTCAAGATGAACCTGGAGTTGTGAAGTTCTACTCAAGCAGAGCAGATCTATAGCATTTCCATTGTGTTTTCATTATTTTGATCACTTCAACTTTTTTAACAGATTGAAATATGACCCAGAATGTGTAAATTTCTTTTTCAAGGCTCTTGTGTTTGTGTTCAAAACGGTCACCTCCAACCAATCACCTGCATCTGAAACCATCAAAGTAAAAAAAAAAAAAAAAAGTCTGAAGACACACCTCTTCTGTGAGGACTGAACTAATACATTAGAATTGGAGCCCAGAGAACATTAATACACTGATCTGACCTAGTAAACATGGTAAAATGCCTGTTTCTGATTTTAATTCTGACTCCAGGTACAGTATGACTCCCTTTATTCATTGTAGTCATTTACAGTAGAAAAGCAGTGTAAGAAATAATTTTGTGCAGTTTGAATCAGTAATGGTCTTATTTCTTTGTATTAGGTGTGATGACTGCAGACCAGATTAGGCCAAATAAAGAAACTAGTGTCATAAAGAAGGAAGATGAGATTGTATCCCTCAGCTGCTCATATGATACAAGCAGCAGATATGTTAGACTTTACTGGTACAGACAGTATCCTAAAGGAGAACCTCAGTATTTAATGTGGAAAGAGGCTCGGTATTGGAGTAGCACTGGGAAGCCAGCTGATCCTCGCTTTCAGTCGACTACATCAGAAACATCCACTGAACTCACCATTACTAGTGCAACTCTGTCAGATTCAGCTCTCTATTATTGTGCTCTAAGAGTAGCAGCCCAGTGATACAAAGTCAATGTGAAGCCATACAAAAACTCTAATTCATTTTTCACTTTGATCTCAAGCCACATCAAACCCACAATCTATAATTCACACAGTATAATTACACTTGTGGAAACACCTGTGTGTGATTAGTTCAAAATATAATGGGAAAAGAAAGAAAAAGTGAAAGAGATCAAAATAAGATGTTGTGGATTTCTACTAATATGCAAAACATATACAAAACCAATCGTAATAGTTGTGGACATATATAAAAAAACATTTTAAGATTAAATAATACATTTACAAAACTGACTTTCAATGCTGGTGGAATGAAAATAGGTATATAATATAGTAGTTAAGAATAACATTAATATTAAGTCTCTTTTTCTTTTTGAACAGTTTCTTCTAATAATATACACAAACACAATAACAATGTCAAGTGATAACAATGTCTAGAATTACATTAATTCATCAAATTGAAATAAGGGGTCAGTGCTTGAACCAATGTATAGGACTGATAAAACAAACATTGGAAAGACTTTAAAATACACCCAGAATCCTTCAGGAGGAGGAGACAGTCACACTGTGTTCAGATTCTGTGCAGTCAGACTCCTCCTGCAGGTCTTTGCAACAACTTTATCAAAGAGAGGCTGAAACAAGGATCTGCTGTAGATTTTAATGAGTTAATTTTATCTAAAGTATTATTTAAAAATTATTATGATGGCAAACTGGCAAATAATTGTAGTCTTCTTTATCACATATTACTGGGGTAAGTTAAATTCTGTAAGTAAAAACTGCTAATACTAATATAAGCAAAATCTGATCCTTTTTGGGTTTTTTTGCATTACATTACAGGATGTGATTCTCTGCACAGTGTTGAACAAAATACAACAGTTCTTACAGCTATTGAAGGAGCAGTTGTAACAATCAGCTGTCAATATGAAACCACTGATATATTGCCAATTTTCTTCTGGTACCAGCAAAAATTAAATGGAGTTCCAGAATTCATGCTGGACAAATTTGATAATCATGCCATCCATTTCAAGGAAAGATTTAGTGGCGATCTCAACACAATTTCAAAATCTTTTCCACTGACAATCCAGGATGTGAGTGTGTCTGACTCTGCTGTGTACTACTGTGTTCTGCAGCCCACACTGACTAAAACACACTCAACACTCATACAAAAACCCTTTGTGAGCATCTGTTGTTCAACCTCTGATGTGATGTGACTACTGCTTCCACTGTTATGAAGCCTGCGTAAATCTAAATACTTATTGCACTTAATAGGAAGTTATTATTGCCTAAAAAGATGGCCTACTCATTTGACACAAATGTTAGAAAACTGCTTTGCCAAGTGCTACTCATATAATATATTCTTACCTCTATAAAAGCCTCTGAAACAACATGCATGTAAATGTAAAATGGTAACATCAAATTCTGCACTTTTAAAAACTTTTCTTTAATTCATATCAGGTGTACTTTCAAGTCAGCAGTGATTCCATTTAACCTTCAAAAAACATAAAACAACAATAACAACACCTGTGTTTTCAGATAATATGGTATCTAATTTATGAACAACACATTTTTTGGATTTTGTGTTGCAATTATGTTGGATGTTGCCTCAAATAAGACACAGATGGTAAAAATATTTTTAGACTGAAGGTGGTGATATATACAGTACATGACATCACCTCAAATATACTATTGTAAGCTTTGGTTGTAAATAAAACATATTTTTACCATGGTTCATGTTTGCGTTGAAAAAAAAAGTCTGGTCTGTCTGATAAATGTTATTTTACTTCTGATTTATTCTGAGTTTAGTTACACTGTTTGTAAATTATATTACAACATATTGTTGTATTTTATGGACTGTTATTAATATGCAAAACATATGCATAACCAATCCTAATATGTGGACATACATCACAAACAATAAAAAAAAATATTTTAAGATAAAAAAAAATCATTCAATCTTATATAAGGCTAAACCTTGAGGAAAAATATAAAAATACAAAGAGCAATAAGAGATGTTTGACTGAATATCATATTAGCCTATTCTATCCTGACTCGATTCAGATACATAAAGATGTATTTATGTAATATTATTTTACACAGTAATGCCATATTATGCACAGTCTGTCAAAAGCCATTGCACTTCAAGGTTTATATAATTAAATAATCACAAATAATTCCAAAGGTTGCAAATGAATGAAAAGCTGTTTAATACAATAAATTCACCACCAGGGGGGAAGCATCTCTTAATTTCTTGTGTGAGACTGTTCAGTTGCTGAAAACATCAAGAGAAGTGAGTTCTGCTATAAGTAGAGACTCACATCAGTTATCTGACTCTCACTCTCTTCAACTCAGAGCAACATGGCTGATTATTACGGTTTTCTTCACAGCACATAATTTTGGTAAGAAGAGTCTTTCATCTTTAACACTTGAGTTACTCAATATCTTAATATCTTGAGTTACTTAATATCTGATTGTTAATTCATGTCCGATCCTTTCCAGTGTGCTGGGGACAGGACAGTGTCGATCAGCCTTTAAGAGAAAAGACTTCTGCTGAGGGAAATCAAGTGACTTTATTGTGTAATTACACCCTCATGAGTGCTGCAAATGCTTATCTCTACTGGTATAAACAACTGCCAAACAGATCACCGACATTCATTCTGAGTGACTTTTCCATTGGGAAAGGAACTACGGAGCCTGAATTTAAGGAGAGATTTCACACAAAACTGGACTCCACACTAGGAACAGTTCCTCTGACAGTCAGGGATGTGTGTGTGTGTGTGTGTGTGTGTGTGTGTGTGTGTCTGACTCTGCTGTGTACTACTGTGCTCTGAGGCCCACAGTGACTGAAACACTCACACAAAAACACAACTCTCTGACACTGATGAAAAATGCATAACTATAATGAATCAATAATAGGAACAATGTACTATAGCAGTTGAGAATAATATCAACATTACTGTATATGTCTGTTTTTTATAGCTTTTTCTAATAGTATACCAAAGTACAATAACAATATCAAGTGCTCCAAATTCCAGAATTGGTTTTGTTCATCAGATTGAAATAAGGGGTCAGTGTCTGAACCAACATATGTGAAAAGACTTATGGCAGATAAACACAGAACATTTAATTTTTTTCAAAATACACCCAGAATCCTTCAGGAGGAGGAGACAGTCACACTGTGTGTGTGTTTAGATTCTGTGCAGTCAGACTCCTCCTGCAGGTCTTTGCATATGTGACAGTGTTACAACAACTTTATCAAAGAGAGGCTGAAACAAGAGTCTGCTGTAGGTTTTAATGTAGAGTTCATTTGATCTAAATTATTATTTTAACAATTATTGTGATGGCAAACTGGCAAATAATTGTATCGCATATCATGGGGTAAAAACCTACAATATTCTTCTAAAATGAATATGAAATCTTCATCAATGATGTTTTGCATTTCATTACAGGATGTGGTTCTCTGGAAAGTTCAAACTGCTGTTGAAGGAGCAGCTGTAACAATCAACTGTCAATATGAAACCACTGATATGTTGGCAAATCTCTTGTGGTGCCAGCAAAAACATGCTGAGCAAATTCGGCATGCAGTTCAAGGAAAGATTTAGCAGCAGTCTCAACACAATTTCAAAATTATTTCTACTGACAATCAAGGATCCATGTGTATCTGATTCTGCTGTATACTATGCTCTGCAGCCCACTGTGACTGAACACTCACACTCATACAAAAACCCTGTGTGTGCATCTAAGTTTTGTTGTTGAACCTCTGATGTGATGGGACTACTGCTTCCATTGTTATAAATCAGATTAAAGGGGTCATATGATGCAATTTCAAGTTTTCCTTTGGAATGTTACAAGCTGTTCGTGAATAGATAAGATCCCTAAAGTTGCAATGACTAAAGTCCCAAACCCAAAGAGATATTCTTTATAAAAGTTAAGACTCGTCCACGCCCTCCTCAAACGCATCATTCAAACACGCCCCCACATGTCTACGTCACTGTGTGGGAAGATTTGCATAACACCGCCCAAATTTTCATGCAAAGAAAGAAGGCGTAACTTTTATTCTGGCTGTTGCCGCCGCCGCCATGTCGTGAAATGCATTGTGAAAGCGAAACTACTTTGTTTGGCCTTCCAAAAGAGGACACAACTAGAAATCAGTGGTTAAGTTGTATTTACAACACTGTTCCAGAACAGTTCAACCCAAATATTCAGATGTGTGCAGCGCATTTTACGGAGGACTGTTTTTTGATCCTGGGAAGGCTGTGCACAAAGGCGGTTTCTATAAAGTGGGGCAATTCCAACTTTGCAAGGACAGTCTGGCACTTCTGACTCACAGCCTGTTAGTACTTTTTCATATTTAAAGAATTTGCCACTGATGATTCAAACATTAGTTTTGAGCAGTGTAGAGTAGCGCTTGTTGTTTGTCGTTTCTCCGATCACAAAT